TCATTTGTTTAAACGTTAAATCGACTTTGCCATTTCTTAGCTTTACGACATAGTGTTTCGCTCTCTATGTAAATTACCAAATGAACGATCGTTTTTATCTTTGAACCAATCTGCAAAATGGTCCAGATATTCAGAAAGCATCGCACTGGGATGTGCCGCTTGTTAAATAATAACAACCACAGGCACGTGCAAAGTCGGTCATATTTCTTTTTTCGTCAGCGTTTCACAAAATTTGTATTTCATATCCTTGTGGATAAGACGTAAGGGTGTCTGCCTAAAACAAAATAAGGGATGAAGTGAAATCGTGTGTAAAGATTTTCTGCTTGTAAAAACGAAAGGTCTGTCCACAAGGGCTAAATGATCGCCTTTACGCGATCAATTTTACGTGCTGATACAGACGTCGCAGGGGGTAGATAGTGACTCCTTTGACATTTTACAACCCCTAGAAAGTCACGCCGCTCACTAGGAAACCTGAGTAAGGTGTATCGGTAGACCAGAAGGGTGTATGTCCAGTACGATGAACATATATAATTTAAATCGCATGACTGGGCGACCCTTATCAAAATGCACCCCTTTCTGACCGCCTTGGCACCCATCTATAACGTTCCTGGAGTTAAACTGCTGAGCTCTAATGGCCTCGATCGATATAACTCCATTACGTTGGACATTATCGTGTTTTGTGATTTTACAAAAAATTTCAATAATACGAGTAGCCTCGCCCCCCTCCTACCCCCGCACCACCGTACTAACTGATATTCGAATTACCCGCGAATACTAGGTACAGAAGGTTGTCGGTTGAATTAATTGAAATATATATATATACTTCTGATACTTGTTAAACTAAGGGATGCTACCCATCTCCTTAAGGGCTCTTATCTAATTTGATTTTTTTTCTTGAAGAAGTTAGGGCTTTCATGGGTTTCATCAATAATTTACAGTTTGAGTACGTAACGTCCCAACGAGAACTTTCCTTTATTCGAAACACACTAAATAGAGACTGACAATCAGTCTGAGAAACTTACTCAAGTAATTCGAGTTGGAAAGTTTGTCTGGGTGCGTCGAAGACCCAACCTAACCTAGTTTCAGGACTTTGCTTTTCCCCATATGAAATCCAAACACGGCTTAAATCGATCCCTTCCTGTTTCTCTTTTTTTCTTTTTCTTTTTCAAAACTAGGATCTGATAAACTCGCAGCTATGTCAATATGTGCTACCACTGGCGTTGCCGCTACTTTGAGCTCTTTGCTTTCCTCTTCGACGTTCTTTCTCTGCTGTTATAAATAAAAAAAAAAAAAAAAAAAAAACCCAAGGAAAGAATAATCCTACCGACTTAATTTTGCTATGGTTAGGTAGACCGAAGATCGGAATCAAGATAGTAAAAATTTATGAGCCAACTTCATGTTATTTTTTGGGCTGACCTAGGCTTTGACCGAACAGTGATGCCAACTCCATTATTGGAAAACTATTATGGTCCTGTTTTGGACGATGGGCATTGATCGAAAAATGCTGACTAGCTCAAATAAAGTGTGTTCACTGGATACTCAGGTTAGAAACATGCCAAAGCCACTCTGCGATACTATTCACAAAGCAAAATGGCCTTATGCCGGATACACATCTATACTTCATTCTCGATTGAGTTCGGAGCTTCTGGTAACAGGAATTAGACATAGGGCCTAAGGGATCTTCAGGACCTGCAAGACCCAAATTCCGGATATGTGGCGTATCATCAAATTACCCGCTGGAGGATTACCTAATTCCAATGCTGGCATATCTCTCGATAGGATCCCTTTCAGAAACCACCCCATTCCCTGCGAGCAACTTTTTACGTGTCTCGAAGACAAAAGTCCTTCCGGTCGAGCCGTGACCTCATACATTTAAGACCCTGCTGCATCTCGCCGTTGCCTTGGGAATAACGAAAAATATAAAATAACTGTACATAAAAATATTTATCTACTCTCCTAGCATTCCCTTTGCCGGATCGAAAAGCAGGATCAATTAAGGAAACAGGAAGTGGAAAATAGAGAAACTGAGTCAGACCGAAAATTTGGCACAGACTGGTCTGCGCATAAGAGGACTGGGTCACTGGGCTATCAAGCGGCTAGGGCGAGCCATCCCGAGGGCCGTGTTACATCGTAAGGGTAGCTCAGCTAGGGGTTGTCTTTTTTCATACGGAAGTAAACCGATGGCGCAAGCAAGGGGATAAATCATAACTCAGTCAGGTTTCCTATCAAGTTTCGAAAGCAATCCCGACGCGTCAGCAATCGGTCAACCGGAAGTTCACAGTCGAAATAAGTGTATAAAGGGTGTTCTGCCAGTCTGTGGTTTTACTCGCCAAGGGTTGCCAGCGGGGCCGTAGGGGCGGGTGAGACCAAAAAAGGGATATGGCCTGGTTGGATATTGATCCAGCAGTGGGGCAGGAGGGGGACTCACCTACCCTAGGTTACTCCAGAGGGGTAGTAGAGGACCTCGGGTCGCATGCGCACCAGCCTAGAGCTACATCCAGCGCGATCGACCCGCCAACCCCTTTTGCACCCTGCACCGCACCCCTGGCGACGAGTGGTACCGTGCCCCGAGCACGGGAACACTGCTCCCCCCTCGTAACCCCTGAATTGCCGAGTCGCCGAGTTGCATTCTAAATTAGACTAAATATAACTTTCTTCAGGGGGTGTACACAACGTGCATCCTGCACGCGACGCCTTACCTGCCCCACGATTATATTTTGCAACCCCCTCTACACACACGTACTACAGACGCGCATGCTGAAATGGTGGTCTGTCTCGCTCTCTCCCCTTATGTTTTCCCATCGCCCCTATCTCTCTAGCTTCGTCCAACCGCCGCCAGATGTCTCGTTACTTTATCTACACACCCCCTAGTCCGCGTCCACTCGAGCGAACCTACTGCAACCCTTAACTCAACTTTGAGGACAGTCGCCAGCCAGACTGACTCTTTACCAATTTCACGGGATATCACAAATGCGAAACTACCCCCAAAAGCCTTTGTGGTCGTTCATCCCCTTTCAATCTCAATGCTCAATCTTGGAAAATCTTCAAACGACCGTAGCAGCTTCTTGTAAATTTATCATCGAAATATGAGCTTTCGAAGTGATTCCAGGTACGTGACTCTGTCACAGGTTGGGTCGACCATAAATTCTTGCTGACATTTGCAACAGCTGTTACCAGCTTCTAAACGACTTGCAACGACCCAACGAGTTATATTTGTTGTGGGGGAACCTTTATTCATTATTACGTTAAATCATATCCAAACGGTAGCTGACTTTATCGCGGTACGTTCCTGCCCGTCGTGCCGCAACCACTTCCGCTCTCGTCTGAGTATAGGCTTACTAGGACTGTAGGAGTTCTGGAAAAATTACGCAAACTTATTAATTATTTCGTAGAAAAAGAATTGTAATTTTTTTTTCATTTTCTAATACGCCAATTTATAGTCGATTTGTTTTTCGAGAACGAGCGTTTCGTAATTTCTATTTTTTTTTTTTTACTGTTCTATACTGTCTTTCAGATAACCCAAACGAATTATGAATAATTAAAGGCTTATCCGTAGTTTATCGTAGCGCGGCGTCGGATATCTTGCATGTTATGTAATCGTGGATATAGGTAAATAGTACAGTAGGTGTATATATATATATATATACGTCAATGTACAGTAGACGGGCGGAATTGACGTACCTACTACTGGCTATTAGTAGAGCATTAAAATTTCATTTGACGGTATCCGGTTAACAAAATTTGACAAAAAAAAACAAATAAAAATATTTAAAAATTTGAAATGAAAATATTGCTCGAAGCTTTTAAGCGAGCAACGCTTTTAACGCCATAACTCGTAATTACGTCAGGCGTTGAAAATCATCAGTCCGCGTGGATTACGCAAACGGAAGTAGCTGCCACCCTCCTAACGCGGGTCGCGACGTTAATTTGTCTCTCGTTAATTGGGAATTTCAATCGCGTCGCCGATGGGTTTACTTTTATTTACTTTTTTTTTTAAACTAGTTCCGCGTCATGCGAATTCGTTTTTATTGTTTGATTCGTCGAATGACGATCGAAAGCTTTTATAAATACACTCGTGTAGACTGATCGGAGGAAACGTATCAATTCTCGGTGTGATTCTCGAGTGGAAATAATGTTTTGTTTCTTATCGAATAACATTTAATCAAATTTTATGCTTTTTTTTTTATGTCAAACTTTTGATAAGCCCTTTCGATCTTACGTTATTCAAAATGTCACTGACACGTCGTGAGATCGCGTAGATTGGGCTTTTCGTAGGCAAAGCAGTGGCAATTGCCCGACGAAAAAAAAAATCGATACCAACTGTCAGCCGATAAAAAAAAAAATTTACGTAATCATCGGTGATCCTTTCCCATTGACGAACCTGCATCCGCTTTCGATCGAGACCGGAAGTACTGGTTACGTGCAACGAGTAAACAGATTGACGCTATTCGTATCGAGTGCCCAAGGCTACCGTTTTATCGTTTCAACTTCCTCGCGTGACACCTTTTTCCAGTGAAAAAACGTAGCCAAACAAAGACGAACCAGCCCGAATCGTTAGCAGGGAAAAGGAAGTGACGTCACGCACCCTACCGTACGACCCTTCCAACTTGGTAAAGTCGCGCTATACTGTCGCCCTAAATTATTCTGAGTCATCCCTCGGAAAATCCAGAAATCCGGCCACCCTCCTTCCCCCTTACTGCGTTATGGCCGCCGCTGTTTACGTCGTTGACTCCCTTACGATATTCACGAGCTCAATTTTCGAACTTACGACCGATTCACATGCGTACCCGTTCTTAGTGCGCGCATGCGCACAAGCTGTACAGCTGACGCAAGAAGTTTCTCGTCTCGTGTCTACAATCGTCATCGTTCGTATTAATTTTTGTTATATGTTTTTTTAATACCCACACGATTTCTTTTGTCTCGACTATATATTTTTCTTCCATCCTTACAGCATACACACGCATCCACTCATTATGTTTTTTTACGCACTTGTTTTACAGCATGGCCGCTCAGATTCGTACAGGGTCGCTACGCTACCCAACATTCGTGACGACAACAAAACTGCTGACGGATTGTTCAAGGTACCGAGTGCACTCGAAGACGCTCTCTGTAATATCGCTGGGTCTGCTGTTGCCGTTGCTGCTGATGCTCTGGGGCCTTTTATTGGAGTGGCGGTGGTGGGGGATAGAGGGGGGCTTCTTAGCGATACTCTCGTCACTTAACCTAGAGGGACTGTACCTACAGTCCCTTTCCAGAGAGTTCCGAGATCGTCTATCTTCCATGACTGATATCTCACGGGACTCTCGTAACTTAATGTGGGTCGTCGATTCTTACAACTACTGCCACGATGAAAATTAATTTTTTAATCGTATTTTTCGAACTTTTGCAAAAATTCTTATCTAACGCGTCTTCTGTCGCTTCTTCTGTCTTCTCTCTTTCTTTCCTAGCCTCGTTACTTCTTCGTCTTATACTTCCTCTCTACCTCTTGTCTTTGTCGTCGGTAAGTTCAGTCTGGAGATATTTAATGGGCAGACCAACCAACCTTCACTTTCGGTAGTGACACAACGACAAGGGCCACACACTTGTACTAACTTTCTAATTCTTTTTTTTTTTTTTTTATGTCTTCTACCTTCCATACTTATTTCATTCGCATGCGTCAATATCTACTGTTGTCTAGTGTCGTATCTACTGTATATACTATTTTTGCAATTTAATACTACTGCGGTATTACTGTACTGTGATAACTTTGATACCTCGCATCAAGGTCTCGGTGACTTTTTATTTTCCTGTATCCTCTCGTGGTCGTAAAATTCTTCTAACGTTACTGCCTGCTGCTGCTGGTAAATGTCGCAGACGTATTCTCTTTGAAACGCACTGTAACCTAATGCACTCGACGAATTAACACGCGATATTGTCTCGATGACTATTTGTCAAAACTGGCACTGACTAAGTTCAGCCTGAAGTACATGAAATATTGTACTGTTGTATTTGACAAAAAGCGACAACTTCACGCACTAGAATAAACACAACTTAAGTGGTACTACTGCTAATTAACAAATCGCACGCGATCATTAACTCGCTCTAATGACTTAACATGCTTCGGGGATATAATTGATTCAAATAAACACAAAATGAACTGGCACTCTTGACATTTTTTTTTAAAACCCGTTATCGAGCCGCAGGTCAACGACTTGCGAAGTTTAGTTTCTAGTTTAACGTAGGGACGTTTAATTTTTATTGGAAAAGAGGGGGGGGGGCGGGGTTTATAAAATTTTCATAAAATTTTCTAGTTTCACGAACACGCATTAATGCGACGCGTCGCGACGGCCTCACGATCCAAAGCTGTACTGACGACGTACTGGTCGAGACGTTCGCTTGACTCGTTTTAATTAAAGGGTTAATAAGGCCGACTTATTAATTGGGAAGCTCGGGGTATACCAGTGGATCGCACTGGGGAATGTACGTCTTAATGTAGAAATGGGACCAAGACCCAAAGATCCAATAGAAAGTGCCAGTTAGGATGGATCGCTTGTTGATTGGTTATTACTTTTGTAACTGATCTTGCAACTGTTTTGATACGCAGTCGCGGCGGAAGAACCCAAAGCGGAAGGGGGACAATTTGGATGACCTGAAGCAGGAGTTGGACATTGACTTCCACAAAATCTCCCTGGAGGAGCTCTACCAGAGATTTAGCACACACCCCGAAAACGTGAGTATAATAATAATAATAATGAATTTTTGAAAAATATAATTGATGTGTACGAGGAAGCGAATGCTAAACTTATGATAACCGTTCGCAGGGCCTTAGCCACGCAAAAGCAAAAGAGAATCTGGAGAGGGACGGACCCAATGCCCTGACCCCACCTAAACAGACGCCGGAATGGGTTAAATTCTGCAAGAACCTCTTCGGCGGTTTCGCCCTGCTGCTGTGGATCGGCGCGATCCTCTGCTTCATCGCGTACTCGATCCAAGCGTCGACGAGCGAGGATCCAAACGACGACAACCTCTACCTGGGAATCGTGTTGGCCGCGGTGGTCATAGTGACAGGCATATTCTCCTATTATCAAGAAAGCAAGTCCAGTAAGATCATGGAGTCGTTCAAGAACATGGTACCGCAATTCGCGACTGTGCTGAGAGAAGGAGAGAAGCTGACCTTGCGCGCGGAGGACCTGGTGCTCGGCGACGTGGTGGAAGTGAAATTCGGCGATCGTATACCAGCCGACATAAGGATCATCGAGTCACGTGGCTTCAAGGTGGACAACAGCTCCCTCACGGGCGAATCCGAACCCCAGTCCAGGTCGCCGGAGTTCACGAACGAGAATCCTCTGGAGACGAAGAACCTCGCTTTCTTCTCTACGAACGCGGTCGAAGGCACGGCTAAAGGTGTGGTGATCTGCTGTGGTGATCAGACAGTAATGGGAAGGATTGCTGGCTTAGCATCTGGCCTTGACACTGGAGAGACTCCGATCGCCAAGGAGATTCATCACTTCATCCATTTGATCACGGGAGTTGCCGTATTCCTGGGAGTGACCTTCTTCCTTATTGCCTTCATCCTTGGTTACCATTGGCTCGATGCCGTTATCTTCCTTATTGGTATCATCGTTGCGAACGTGCCCGAAGGTTTGCTTGCTACCGTCACGGTGTGCCTGACGCTGACCGCCAAGAGGATGGCCTCCAAGAACTGCTTGGTCAAGAATCTGGAAGCTGTCGAGACCCTCGGCTCCACCTCGACCATCTGCTCGGACAAGACTGGCACCCTCACACAGAACAGAATGACCGTCGCCCACATGTGGTTCGATAATCAGATAATCGAAGCTGACACTACCGAAGATCAATCTGGTGTTCAGTACGACAGGACGAGCCCGGGATTCAAGGCCCTGGCGAAGATCGCAACCCTTTGCAACAGGGCAGAGTTCAAGTCAGGTCAGGACGGTGAGCCCATCCTGAAGAGGGAGGTTAACGGTGACGCTTCTGAAGCTGCTCTACTCAAGTGTATGGAACTTGCCCTCGGCGACGTCATGGGAATTCGTAAGCGCAACAAGAAAGTCTGCGAGGTCCCCTTCAACTCGACGAACAAGTACCAGGTGTCGATACACGAAACCGATGATCCTAATGATCCACGTTATCTTCTCGTGATGAAGGGTGCACCAGAGAGAATCCTTGACCGGTGCTCCACCATCTTCATCGGCGGCAAGGAGAAGGTCCTCGACGAAGAGATGAAGGAGGCCTTCAACAATGCCTACCTCGAGCTCGGAGGTCTCGGCGAGCGTGTCCTCGGCTTCTGCGACTTCATGCTCCCGTCTGACAAGTTCCCCATTGGCTTCAAATTCAACAGCGACGATCCCAACTTCCCGTGCGAGGGACTCCGCTTTGTGGGACTCATGTCCATGATCGACCCGCCCAGGGCTGCGGTGCCGGACGCAGTTGCCAAGTGTCGTTCGGCTGGTATCAAGGTCATCATGGTGACCGGTGACCATCCTATCACTGCCAAAGCCATTGCCAAATCCGTTGGCATTATCTCTGAAGGTATCATCGACTACCTATCTTTCCCCCATTCTTCTATTGATTTCCCACTACTCAACGCGAATACTCATCTTCCTCCAAAGATGCCAACTGGCCAAGCCCATTGTATCTCACTGTCCTCTTTACTCCCCAGGTAATGAAACTATCGAGGACATTGCTCAGCGTCTGAACATTCCCGTGTCTGAAGTGAATCCACGCGAAGCGAAAGCTGCCGTTGTCCATGGAACCGAACTCAGGGAACTCAATTCCGACCAACTGGACGAGATCCTCAGGTACCACACCGAAATTGTGTTCGCGCGTACCTCGCCCCAGCAAAAGCTCATCATCGTAGAAGGCTGCCAGCGAATGGGCGCCATTGTTGCCGTAACAGGTACTCCATCATTGCCACTTACCTACCTTAGAGAATTATTGAACACGACGTGTAATCATTTGCTCATCCCAGGTGACGGTGTCAACGACTCGCCCGCTTTGAAGAAGGCCGACATTGGCGTTGCCATGGGTATCGCCGGGTCCGACGTATCCAAACAGGCAGCCGACATGATTCTTCTCGATGATAATTTCGCCTCCATTGTCACCGGCGTCGAAGAGGGCCGTTTGATCTTCGACAACCTCAAGAAGTCTATCGCCTACACCCTGACCTCCAACATCCCTGAAATCTCGCCTTTCCTGGCGTTCATCTTGTGCGACATCCCTCTGCCACTCGGAACCGTCACCATTCTTTGCATCGACTTGGGAACCGACATGGTGAGTTTCCCTTGGGACGGTGAACGATCCCCGAAGACGCAGGTCGATCAATCATCCTCAAAGGCTAATGATGATCAACCGAAGATAATTCCATGGCTCTCAAGACGGTCCAAAAGACTAAAGTTCCTCGGTGAAAAATATTTGATCGATCTGCGTCCACCTTAATGAAAAATTTTGCCACTTTTCAGGAGCCCTTAAAAGAAAAAAGAAAAAAAAAAGAAATACCCAAAACCCATTCACACCCCCTTGCGGTACGGGCCTTAGCTTACGTTTTCACCTTGGGGATAAATTGATAAAGAGCGCGTTAATAAGAACATCCAAGATAATGAAAACGATCCTCGGGGTCCATGGAAACGAGACCAAATAATTCGCTCACGTTAACGATACTCCAGAGCTAAAATAGGATCGCTAGGAGAAGAGTGTGTAAATTAAATAGTGGATCGCTAGAGAAGATATCTATCTCAGAGCAAAAAGAAAGAGGATCAAGTGCAGAGCGATCGTGCAGAAAACCAACTGAAGGGTGGAAAATGGTGATTACCAGGTACCCGCGATCTCCTTGGCGTACGAACTTGCGGAGTCCGACATTATGAAGAGGAGGCCACGAGATCCTTACCGCGACAACCTCGTCAACGAAAGGTTCCGATAACAGTAGCTTGCTCGACAATTGATAACAAGACCGTAGCGAACCCCATTCAGGTTAGATCTGTCTAATGCCTACGGTCCTGCGAGATATTAGACGCGCCAGAGTTCGAACTCCTTATAAAAGGTCGCTACAGTTACATGCTAGAGAATTCTGTAGATTAGACAATAGCGTGTATCGCTTGGTCGATTACCTTTTAAACAGGCTGTCGACGAGCACCTTATGATCTTTTTGACTTCGAGGTACTGCTGCTCATTGAAAATCACTTTTACAACACTTCACTATTTTTATATATATCATTGAGATTGTCGGAACAACCCATACCCGTTGTACAGCTCGTTTCAAGAGTTCAAGTCTCACAAAATTACATTCGGACAGTCTCAATCAGTCTATACTAATCGATTTCACAGGAGCAGCGTATCCATCTTCAAGAAAGGTTAAGGAAAAATCAAAGAAAGAAAGTCCGATCCACACACGAGAATCAAAGAATATTCCTCCCCCCTGGCCCTTGCCCCTAACCCCTCAACACACAATCACCTCATTCACATTCAACGACTTGCAATCGTTTTCAAATTCATCACTCCTCCCTCAGTCTCGGCATTATAATTTATAATTATATTATTATTTAATTTTTCTTTTTCTATTTTTTTTTTTTTTTTTAATACTTGTAAACGATGCTTCGCCAGTGTCTCGACCTATTTGATCAGAAATCCAAGTTCGTTCATGGACGCGATCAGGTATTTCGTTGGTTTGTCAATTGCGACCTAACCTATCCTACGAAGCCTTGTTCTACAGGTCGATTCACTCGCGATGCATCTCGCGGTGAACTCTCAACGGTTTCACTGACTTGTGAGCTCATTGATAATGTGACGTATCAGGTACCCGCCATCTCACTAGCCTACGAGGAGGCAGAGAGTGATATTATGAAGCGACAGCCTCGAAACCCGTTCACTGACAAGCTAGTTAACGAAAGGTAACACATCAACACAATACCGAATCACTGATAACAGCGGAGTAACAGGGATTTGGAGATCGTCGTTTTTACGTTTCGTCTTTACTTTTCATTAACTTTCAACAACTGTCATTCGAAAATAATCATTTTCGACGTTTGGGGTGGTTTGATCACCAAGGGAATATTTATAAGATACGTATCTGAATTTTGCATTCCTCCTCGCAGATGCTTTTAACAGCGTTGCGTGTAAAATTTCCAAATTATTTACCATCTACAAAATAAATGAAACAAACGTAGTCAAAGTTTCACTGCATAGATATAGGTTGCACATTAAAAACGTTATATTATTTCTTAACATATCTCATCTTCCAGGCCGTAAAAGTTAATGAAATTTCTTAGAGACACCTCTTTCACGTCGAGCGTTAATTACGACTATTTTTTAATTAAAAATCCTGGGAATATTTAATTTTTTTTTTTATTCGTTACTTAAACGAAAATTTTCTACGGGATGAATTTCTGTCCTTTTTTCTTGTCTCAAAGAGGGTTATTAAATTATCTGGGCAATAGTTCTTCAATGAGTCATATACTGGGTGTTCGGCGAAATTGGAATACTATTTTTATGAGGCTAGGCAAACCACCTTAATCTTCATTCCACGAACATGCTCTTTGGCTGTAGTTGGGTTTTGATTATTTACAGGGATTTCGTGCTAGTTGATTTTTTTTCCATTTTCTGCTCAGACATACTTTTTTTTTTTCATCAAAGTCACTTCATTGTCTCTACGCGACGATCTCCACGTTTCCTTGTCTATACGTTATTTATTAATCTTATGATTACTATACTATGGTAGTTAGTTACTCTATTTCTCATGTTATCTTCGCTTCACGGTACACCTTTTTTTAACGCCATTGACACTTTTCAAAAATACTGACGGCACGAACGGTCAATCGGCAATCCAGCCTACACTGGGACTTTGAGCGAGGATTTGGTAAAATTTCGGGTGCGTCGGACCCAGGAATTTATTATTAAAAAAAAAAAAAAAAAAAAATAGCGAACGACCCTCTAGTAACTTGATACTCATAAATTATTGAAAAATTTGATCTGTAACTCTCTTCGAATTTTCCAAAAGTTTATCGGCTTCGATCTGTCACTTTTTAATGTAATCGTTGTCCAAAGCATACAGATTTTTTGTACCATTTTTTTCTTTTCTTTTTTTTTTTTTTTTTTCAATTTTCTCCGACCAACCCCAAATTTTGCCTTTCCTGCTCGATCAATCTCACGCGCTACATAAATGATAATTAAGGTAAACGTCAGTCAAGTCTTTGGTAACTTTTTCGCTAAGGGAATCTTTTATCTATACACTCAATTAACTGACACTCTTCTTTTATTCTTATACAATAATTTAATAATCGGTTCGACTTCCATTATGTAACATTAACGGACGGTCGCTGCTCTGTCACTGAATCAATGACTTATTCAATATATTCAATTTACTTTCTACTATTCATTTGCTCGGTATATTCAAATTACAGAGAAGAAAAAAAAAATTAGTAGTCGACCATAGCGACATCTACGCAAATCGGGTAGAACCAAAAGATCGGCTACCGTCCCCACGTGTCAAGCCAAATTATTATTTCTCTTTTCCTTTCTCTTCGTTCTATTTCTTCGGTATTGCCTGTTTTGATGATAAAAAAAAAAAACAAAAACCCAGAATCCTCATGGATGTAATTTCGTTTAATCAAGGTAAGACGAACATCTATTTATTTATGAAGTTTATGGCTCTGCTTTCATAAAGTTCTTTCATCGATCATCACATTTATATATCATTCCTTTGTTTTCGCGTGAAAGGCACAACGTTGGCCTGATTCACGTTGAAAATTCCTCTCGTGCCGGTTCCTGGAGAACTTTACGAAAGGGAGAGGTCGATCGTAATGGCAGACGCATGTCACGTGTTCGTAAGGGGAAAAATACGAAAGAAAAAAAGAAACAGAAAACCCCACAAGCTAACATCCCATCTGGAAGATCGTCTCATAAAAAATTCCTCACATCCTACTTTCGAATGAAAGATTTATCAAAATCGCTGTATCTTGCTGTCGAATGTTTCTCATTCCTTTTTTGTACTATCTTTTTCCATCCTTATCTCTAATCATACTACTGTCACTGTCACATACTGACATTATCCATGTGCCACTCATTGTCACTCAACCATTTGAAACTCGGTATGAAATTCTAATCCTATTTCTAACTTTACTTCTTTTATTTCTCTCTCTCTCTCTCTCTCTCTCTCTCTCTCTCTCTCTCTCTCTCTCGCTATCTCTAACGTACAATTCTCGTATTTTTACACAATGCGCTCGACTTTCTCTTCTTATTAATTCAAGCTCTCTTTCCGTCCTCAGTGTTGAAGCATCTATTATAGGATAATTTATTTTTCTTAAAGTTATTATCAACTGCAGATAAAGTCCGTACGACACAATTCAGTCTCGGCCTCATTACATACTGCCTCTGTTATCCATCTCGAGAACCCTTCGCTCCTATTACACATATTTTAGGCCCTGACCCACGTGACTGAATACACGACAGAACTGTCAAATCAGCATTGTATCCATTGTTCCTGGTTGCCTGTCAAATACACGTCGATCCAATAAGTCAAAATCAGAGTTGCTAACCACCCATCACTTTACAAGTCAATTTGTGTATTTCTTCCACGCATTATTTGATATTAATTTTTTCGAAAAAAAAAATCTCATAAAAACGTCAAATGCGTTACTGCCAATGGGATAGAGAATTTGAAGAAACAAATTTATGTGAAATAATTTAATAAATAAATAAACAAATACAAGGAGTAAGGAAATAGTGAAATTTATCAAAAGGCTGGCAACTCTGGGCCGTGACTCGCGGCAGGAAATGGACCATACGAAAAATCCATCATCATTCCTCAAAACCGATCACGTACCCAAGGGGTGGGAATCGGATGACGTCAGTCCGATAATACAGAATGACGTCATAATTAAAAAAAAAAAAAAAAGGAAACATGATAAAACGAGTCTTATCCTCGTAGTGCTCTAAATCGAAATTTTTTCGGAAATCTGCATTAAAAAAAAAAGTGAACCATCTTCGGAAGAGCGAATGACTTTTTGGAGTCGAGAGTACCGGGGAACAGGATTTGTCAAGTGATTTACGTGTCGATATATATATATATATATGTGTGTATTAATTAAATCCAATTAGTGGATATTAACGACTATTAACTGGTAGCGAGTTACAGCTGACAATTGTTGCGCCATAGATACTTCAGACCTTTGCTAGACTTTTAGTATTACGTATCATACCGTATAGGTAGCTATTGTCATTGACATTATATATATATATATATATACATATATTTTTTCATAGTAGAAAAAATTCTTCGAACAACAACAACAACAACGATAACTATCTGACTATTACTGTTATCGTTGTTGTTGTTGTTATCATTATTATCTACTATACTTACTATCTATTACTTACCTACTTACTATCGCTGCTGCCTCTATTATCTATATTATCTACTGTTATCTACTGTTACTACCGACCACCACCACCACTACTGCTATACTACGGGCACTCGTATAACTTTTTTTACTCTCTCGAGGATCTCTTCCAATGCAGTTTTCTTTATCGCCTTATCGACAAATTTTATATACATTCTCTATTGCGCTGCTGCCTTCTCCCACTGCGACTGCATCTTTACTAGATGAGAAAGAAAAAGCGAGGAACGACTGAGAGGGCGCTGCCGAGATGTCATCGAGAAAAGCAAAAAGTGACGGCGAACGAGACGTTCGATTTGACAGGAGAGCAAGAGACCTTAATTGGAATGGGGAAATTTACAAGGAAAAAAAAAAAAGAGAGAATCTTTCAAAAAGGCAAATAACCAGACGGCCACGTACAAGAAAGCGGGTTAATCGTATGGGACAATTAATTGGTTAAAGATAACAAAAGAAAGAAAAAAAAAAAGAAAGGAGCAAAGGAACGTAACTACCTGGACGAAGGACTTAGTCTAGAATGCTTTGATAACTTTTATCTTGCGTATCATCCTTTCTCACTTCGCTTATCAGCACCGATGACGTCATACTGGCGAGTCCTTTTTCCAGGCTTCAAATAGAACTCGCAATCGCCCCGACGACCTTCTACCTGCCGTTAGTCCAACATTGTCGGATCATTCGAGGACCAGATAAGGGGGAAGAATTTTGAGATGAAAAAAAAAATACAGATGAAAAATTATTTAGACAATATTGTTGATCGCGAACTTACGTTTGAGGGATGAACCGGTACTGTTGGGGTCTAGCCAGTATTCTTATTCCCGTGACCGCGAACGAAATGTACAAGTTTACTTGAAAAAAAAAAAAAGAAAGAAAAAAAAGAAAAAAAAAAGTACGCTAGTGTAATTTTCGAGCCTTTTTCAACGCCCGCACGAAAATAGGGGTAGTATATTTTTTTCTAACTAATGGTGGATGGCAGGTGCCGGCCATCTCGCTAGCCTACGAGGCACCGGAGTCGGACATTATGAAACGGCAGCCGCGTGATCCTTACAGAGACAATCTTGTCAACCGAAGGTGGGTCTCCTAATTACCCACCGAGCATTTATCTAAATTCTGCACTCAAAACTATAAGACAGTTTAAAGAAATTTTTGAAAGGGGGTGGTCAAACGTTTTGTTAATGCTTTTTCGAAAATGCTTTTTTCGAGTATTGGTTATCGATTTTTTGTACTAAAAAAAAAAATCGAATTTATTGACGGCAGATAAGACACTTTTCGAATACTAGACACTGTCCCGTAGGACGATAGAGCAATACCTAGATGCAACCCGAGAATTAATGATTTTTGATGACGTCGTTTGTCGCACGGATTTTTTTGAAAAAGAAAAGTAAAAGTAAAAAAATCGTTTTTATTTTTTGTTAACTCGCATTCTCATTCGCTCTTATTCGCATCGATTGAAAAAAAAATAGTACTTTGTATTTTTTTTTTTAGGACAAATATTTTTCACTGCACACGCGCGTTTGGCCACTTAACCAAATTTTTGACATGTTTTTCTTTGGCGCATATACAGATATACTCGTACGTGCATATTACTTTCTGCGTAAATCTGTATGTGCGAAATGATTACAAAAAAATTGAATTACGCAACTTACAGCTGACACGTATACGCAAAGTACACGCACATTTAGGAATTAGATTTTCTTAGTTTTTCCTTTTTTTTTTTTTCTTTTTTTCTTCTTGGAACTCATAGTAGCACAGCAACTTAATTGTACTAGGGATATACAATGTTGGGAATGCCGAATGCTTTAGTTTTTTATTTCTTAGAGTCCGTTGCCTAATGGCCTTTTACACGTGTTACTCATAGATAGAATTGCGATAATTGATCGTTAGTCTAGATGGTGTGTTCATAGTTGTGACTGTGTGCACAGTTTAAAAAAAAAAAAAGCAGGAATTTGAAAAAAAAAATGACAGATCCGATCACCTGAGCCATCTTTAGTTAGGAAGCATGCGCCGCCATTGTTTTTTTTTTTTTTTTTGAAAATAGTCGAGGTGTGTTTGAAAAATTGATTAACGTTATCGTTTTCACTGAATCGTTAATTTTTCTCTAGTTTACACTTATCTCTTTCCCCTTCTCCTTTCTCCATTGTTTTTTTTTTTTTTTTAGAAAATAGTCGAGGTGTGTTTGAAAAATTGATTAACGTTATCGTTTTCACTGAATCGTTAATTTTTCTCTAGTTTACACTTATCTCTTTCCCCTTCTCCTTTCTTCACTTACCCGCTTTCCACTTTTCTTAGAAAAAAATCTTGCTACCTTCATTTTCACTTTCCGTCCTACCCTCTCTCTCTTTCTCTCGATTCCTCAATTTCTCTCTCACTTTCCTCACGCACTGTTTACTCTTCGTCTTTTAACATTTTTCTTACTGTCAATTGGTGACGGAATCAAAAAAAAAATGTGCTCTCTAATTTTTCTACCACCGTACCACCCGCTATATACCACGAGAAGAAACTATAAGAGCACGTAAGGAAGATAGAGTGATTGATTGTACAGGGAGAAAAGACGAAACGATTTTTGGAATCACATTTTACGTGTTACTCGATTTTTGAAATGTCAATTGAAACGCCCTGTACAATACATACTCGGTCTTTGTACACACATTGCAGAAAAAATGCAATTACGTATTCACTTCTGTGTGTCAACACGAATTCTCACGGTTTACGTATAAAAAAAAAATGTATTCAATATCAAAATACTTGAACTCGAATTTCACTTGAAACGAAGTGCACTGTACAGTCTGTACCGTAAAAAATTTCAAAAGTCATACTTTGACCAAAAAATCGTGAGAAAGCGTTATGAGTGTCGTATGTCTGGGCATGTCTCGTTGTGAAGAATCTCGCATTCCGCCTATAGCGTCACGACGTGTGGTAAGTAATGCATTTTGTGATAACCAGTATCTACCGCTTCTAACACTAACTAAACTACGTAAGCGCATTAGTGATAAATAATTAGGTTAATAAAAAAAAAAAAAAAAGACAGAAGCCAATGAAAGCTTGTAGATTTTCAGGGGACTCCCGTGTGAATTAATGGAAGATCAAAAAATTTGCGTGCTCTCTCACAAGAAAAATTGTCATGCACATTTTTCCGCTGAATTACAAAAAAGAAAAAAAAGAAGAAAAAAAAAGCACTGGCCTTCCCTGTAAATTATTCTCCACCCCGCGAAATTCAAATAATCCCACAGACCATAATAGCTAATGGGTTATTTCCTTTAGGCTGATTTCGATGGCGTATGGACAAATTGGCATGATCCAAGCAGCGGCTGGCTTCTTCGTCTACTTCGTGATAATGGCTGAAAATGGTTTCCTTCCGACGACACTCTTCGGCATCCGGAAAATGTGGGACTCCAAGGCCGTCAATGATCTTAAAGATAGCTACGGCCAAGAATGGGTAAATATTGATCAGATTATAAATGACTTGAAAAATGCAAATTTTGAAAAATTTATTTAATTATAATTCGTACTCGCTTGTAATCATCCACTTTCACAACAGACCTACAGAGATCGCAAGACGCTCGAGTTCACCTGCCACACAGCATTCTTCGTGTCCATCGTCATCGTCCAGTGGGCCGATTTGATCGTCTGCAAGACACGTCGTAATTCCATCATCCATCAGGGAATGAGAAATTGGGCTCTCAATTTCGGGCTGATATTCGAAACAGCCTTAGCCGCGTTCCTGAGCTACACACCCGGCATGGACAAAGGTCTCCGCATGTTCCCCCTGAAGTAAGTGAAAAGACATTATTTCGAGATAAAGATTTTTTAAAATTTTTTCGATCCCATATAAAAATCAAAATAATCAAACCGTAACCCTCCGTATCCTCAGATTCGTCTGGTGGTTGCCAGCCCTGCCATTCATGCTCGCCATCTTCATCTACGACGAGACGAGACGATTCTACCTGCGCCGAAATCCCGGCGGCTGGTTGGAGCAAGAAACTTACTACTAAGCGCGTCGCCACGAGGAGAGAGACACATACGCATTGCCCGCGCAGCAGAGACAACACCACACCCCCTTTAAGAAAATAAGAGCGAGAGCGCGAGTAAACGGAGAAAATGAAAACGATGGAAAAAAAAAAAAAGAGAAAACGACAGGAGAAAAAAGGAAAACAAAAATGATATAATAATTAATTACGTCACACTCTCTCTCACATATGTACACAACCTGTATGCGGGGTACGGGTGCGGGCGGGTACACGTACGCGTATACGTATGTAGAGACACTTACAGATTTTACACGGGGCGTGCTAACTGGGTTCTAATCGTACTGCTCCACCTTGGGAGGCTCGAGGACAATTATTAGCCGAGTCGCTTTTGGCTTTAGGTTGCTTGCATCGAAGGTTCACGCGTCGCCGCCATTCTAGAGCGGCTACCAGAGTGAGAGAACCTGGCTGGGTTTTGTGCAGGGGGTAAGCTAGGTTAAGCTGGCGAAGGAACGGCGGATGCTGTTGAGATTATATTTAAGATCAGGATCACAGTGTGAGAGTGAGAGGGGGAGGTGAGGGAGTTGGTCGATTAATGGAGGGAGAGAGAGAGAGAGAGAGAGAGAGAGAGAGAGAGAGAGAGAGAGAGGAGGGTCCCTTGACTCTTCGCCAAGATTGTGTATTAACGCGCGCGCGGTACGATCAGGCCGGTCGACGAGAGGATCATCCGGAGGAAGAGACTTCCGGACAGCGTTGGACATCGGCCGAGGAACACGAGGAACGTGAAACTGGAATAAACGAAATGAATGATAAGAATCGATTGATGCATGGAGTACGAATGATATGAAGGAGTAACCTTATAATAATTTTGATCTTGAGAGTGTTCCGTGTCCTTGATTCTTTCTATTTATCCTTTGTCATCATCGTGTTCTCGAATAGATGTCGCTCGAGCACCCTTCAGGTCCCGGAAGTGGAGGATGATCCGGGGAAGCGATTGGGTGAACGAGATTATGACCTTTGACATGGGCCTAATAACGCGATGCTGGCGCCCTCCGTCGACGTCACGAGGTACTTCTTAGAGGAAGGAGTGTGACAACGATTAGGATACCAATGTTGATCGTGATGGATGAGCTTGTTACCCTAAGAAGATGGCGCACTAGGATTGATATTTCCTTTGCGTTCAACGTAAATGCGGATGAGGATCTGGAACAGACAGGGATTATGGATACTTGGACCCGTCAGTCCTACCACAGCAACGGAAGGTTATGGCCAAGGATGGAAGCCAAGGATCATTTGGGATTCTTGACAGCGACGTTCACGTAGTGATCGGAACACGTCCCGGAGGTGACGAGCTGCCGACCACCCAACGTCACGTGAGAGAATGGACAACCGGAATGTGGACAGGAGCCGATTTGCCAGATTGGCACGCCCCGAGACCGTGAACGCAATATCCGTGGTTATAAATCCTAAGGTACTGATAAGAATCGAAAGGAGGGTGAAGCGGTTAGTGGGGG